CGTCTGCATTCTCATTGCCTTCATTATCAACATGTCCACCGACGCCGACAAGCTCGTTGCTAAGAAGAAGGCTGCCGAGGAGCCGCCACCGCTGTCGCGGCTTCGGCCTAGCCTGCTGGATGGTTTAACTCGTTTATCCCACTCCTGTTTATTTCCGTGTGCACAGGCTATTTACGTAGATACTTGTACTATATGTGTAGTACGTGCGTATCAGATTAGATACCGGTATGTGATCAAAATGTTCATGCCATGTTCATGATTTATTTCTGGATTGATTCAGTCAGAAAAATTGCTAATATACTAAACACCACGTCGCCACACAACGTCGTCGTCCTACGCCAGCACCCGTTGGGCGGAGCGGAGAAGAGGCCCCGCTGTTGTTGTGTCGACCGGGCTTTGCCCGTTAGCACCTGCCGGTGCGGGAAGGGAGGATGGGAGGACAGGGAAGGTTGGACCGACGGCTAGGGTTTCCCCCCATCGCTCTCGCGTCACTCGGACGGAGGGGGAAATAGAGTTTTTAGATGTTTTTCCATGATGATTCCCTCTTCTTCCGTCCTGCTTTGCTGCAGGGTCAGTGGCACCGGAAGTTGACACGTTTCGCGTATGCTGAATCAAAATAGCATTGCTCCAACTCCTTTTGATCATTTTCTCGCTGGCTTGACTGGACCTTTGACCATGGAGTGGCTGGGTCAAAGCCTGACCAAGTCGGTCAAAACCAAGACCTAGCTGAAACATGGCGCTTGATGTCCTCGTGCCGAAAAACAATTCCTAGGTCCATTTCACGTCGACGGAGCCCTAATTTGGATTTACACGCAGCCGAAGAGTTCCACGTCCGTCCCAAACTAGCTTCAATTATTTGATAGACCGAACGCAACGGGGAAATTGGATTTATGTTCTTAATTTCAGGTATTGTCAGGAATTAATCGAGACTTCAATGTCGAAGAACAGTGGTGCAGTTGTCTGTCACGGTCGGCCGATGCGGTGAGCAATGGAGGCATCCAAAATTCCAAATAGATCGCTGTTATTGGATTTTTTATTTTTTATTTTTTTGAGAAGGATCGCTGTTGCTGGATGTGCATGCCTAGTGTGGCATGCTCTTCATCTGGACCACTCCTTCCACCAGTCATCTTACGCCTACGCCCAGACAAAAGCAAGAATCTGGTCAGACCAATTTGAGGAAGAAAAGCATGCGTATGCGGATCGTTGGTGATCCGAGAGACGAGACCTATTGGAGAGGATAGGTTTTGGGTGGCACGATAGTGAGCAGTTCCGAGCATATCCACTCGACAAGCAAGTTGCGCGAAGAGTAATGTGGAGAGAAGCTGCGTACGTGGGTCACTCCCTCCACTTTTGATTCTGTTGTCGCTTTTAATCCGCATTGAAAATGTGTGACGTGGATTAGTTGATCTCTGACTTGGACCTCCGTTCGCCCTAGAGGCATCACGTCCTCCATTAATCCTTTGATCTTTCTTCAAGTCAGGGATCATTACAAGTTCCCTTTGGCTTTCTTCGCGTGCGCCTTATCTAAGATTGATGCTCTCCTTGGCCACCATAAGTACAAGATTATCATAGTCATGACTTCTTTTTTATTATCATCATGGTCATGACTTTCCCATTTTCCTTGTTGTTGCTGCTGCTGCTGCTGCGAGAATCATGGTCATTTTTTTAATTTTTTATTTAGAAAAAGAGAATGACTTCCGGTCTCTGCATCTGGGAGATGCATACGGCCACTTTATTGATTATTCTCGGGGACCTTACAAAGTATTACAATAATATGCCTGAATCCGCCATCTTGGCAACATATGCCACTACTCCTATCCATATGATAAAGGGGTGCTATCTGGGCCACATACCCGGTCTACTCACCTAATCCTATCATCAAGAGCCAGAATCCCCAGCCGAGCCACATACCGGGTCTGGGGCATAAACTGGTCTGACGCACTCACATGTGTCGTCGCCGCCATCTTCCACAGGTCCATCTTCAGAGCAGATATTGAGACTTCTACCTTGTCAGGCCACTCCATCATCGACGCCACCTTGACCCCAGACAACTACCTCCACCTGCGCGAGTCCATCACCGCGCATCGGGCGCCGAGTCTCCACTGCACCATGCCGCCGAGATCCGCTGTCATCAATGTGAAGGATGAAGTACCGTATGACTCATGGTCATGACTCATGGTAGGATTTTCTTACTAATAATTTTCCACATCCAAGTAGTTTTGGAATACTCTTACTGTTACATTGTCAACGCCCACGTTATGTTGCAAATGCTTTACATTGGCCGATGGAATGCCATCTCCGGACCCACATGTATGCCGCCCCAAATAATACCAACCTCACTACACGTGCTACATCTGTACTACCTTTGTCCTGATTTATTGATCATCTTCATATTTTGTGCCAAATTTTGATCATGGATTTAACTGATAAAATGTTAATGCATGTCATCAAAATTTATAGTGTTGGATTCATATTTGAACATAATTTCTAATGGTACTATTTTTTGTGACATGCATAAACATATTGTTAATTAAATTCATGGTCAAAATTTTACACAAAATATGAAGTGGACCAATAAAACCAGGATGAAGGTAGTAGTTGTGCCCAATTTTAACCATATATTTGACTAACAAAATATAAGTTATATGTGACAAAACTTATATTGTTGGATCCATATTCAAAAGAGGTTTCGAATTATGTTAATTTTATGGTTTATAAATTATTTTTTAGTTAAATTAAAGGTCAAAGTTTGACCCAAAATAAACCAGGTCAGAGGTAGTAGTAAATGCACATGCACAATACATGTTGATATTTGGCAGAAAACTAATTGCATGTTGATATTTGAGAGAAAATTAATTGCAGACACTAGGTAAGATATCAATTACACGTCAATTATATGGATAGTGTTGACATTGATATTTGATATGATATTAATTGCACGCTAAACATGTTGAGCCATCGCCATTGGAGCAATATGGGTCGTTGGATTGACATGGTTTGACGGCTCAGATTTGTTGAATCTGCCTCTTTGGTCAAACATGTTTTCGCTCATCCTTTCGTACTCCCTCCGATATCTTTGGTATCCAATCAATAGCAATAAATGCATGCTTGTAAGGAAATAAATATCAGTCAATCCCTTATCTTTGATAACCCAATAAAAAGTCAAATAGCAAATAAATATCAATCAATCCTTATCTTTGATATACCCCAATAAAGAAAATCAATCACGGACACATATCTATCTTATCAGTTTAAAAATGACAAAAAAACTATACTTTATAACCAAATCATAATCCTGTTTTATCTATTTTATTTTGCATGAAAAAATATCCCATGGTCCTCTTATTGTGTTAAAAATAATATTTTGCCCTTGTTAACGCACGGGCACATACCTACTCCCTCCGTCCGGTGAAGAGTGTACATCTAGTTTCAAAATTTATCCACAAAAGAATGTACTTCTATCTTCCAATGCACTTTAAGGTGAGAAAAATACTTCTCTCTTATCACACGGTAATCAAGACCAATAGCAATACACATGGTCTCCTTAATTTCTACATGCACTTAGCTCATTGGTGATTGGATAATTAAAGAGGAGAGAGATGGTAGTTTGCACTTTTTCAATGCATTCTTACTCAACTCCATAATTTGTCCTAAAATTTATAGATGTACATTCTTCATCGGACGGAGGGAGTAGTCTATATCTATAACAATATTGAAAAGGCGAGTTACCGAGATCTAACAGCTCTCATCCATTCAGCCGCATATATCCAATGGCCAATATTGCCTAATATCAAAGCAGTAATATTCGGAAAAGGAATCTGCTAGCATCACTCTCACATGATCAATCTAATTACTCACAGAAAATGTATTGCCGGTCAATACGAAAAAATAGCTTGGGCTGGGACCACAAAAGAATTCAGTGGCGGGGAGTGAAAACATGTCCATCTTTTTTCAACTTCTGCAAGAAGCGCCATCGTCTCCAGTGTTCAGATTTGGACCGAAGTAATTAGCTTGTCGTCATACCGCTGCTGTTTAATTAGGAGAGGCACAGCTTTCTCCAGGGGAGTAGCTTCAAAGGGAGATATAAAGAGGACCGACCTCCAGATTTTTCTTCCTTCAAGAATCTCTCTCTCTCTCTCGGAGAAGCACCGCTCGACTCTTCGCAGCCTCTGACAAACGGCGCCGGCGACGGCGAGGATCTCCGGGAGAAGGACGATCCGCTGGGCCCCATTCTGGGACCTGTGACTCTGTTCTTCAAGCATTCTTTTTCCTGTGACCCTCCGAGCGGGCTGCGGAGCATCCCTTGGCTTGGCTGTGATCTCCAGGTAATTAATGGCCCTCGTCTCCGTTTCCGTTTGCTTTCGCCTTCTCTGCACTGCCTAGCTTGCAAATCTGCAGCAAATCGCCACTGCGCCCGGCTTGGTTTTAGTTGCTTCAATAGATTCGATACTGTTTAGGTGTATGCTGGGAAGGGAGTTGGTGTAGTTTAGTTTCATCCTCTGAACCACTGGTACTAGAGCCGTAGAGCGTGTTCTTGCTCCGTTGGAGGTTCAGATTCAGCTGGGTTTCGATGTGCTCGAATTTTGAGCGGAACAGGTAGTACATGTTTGTAGATCATTTCTTCAGTATCTTTGGGGCAATTTTTTTTTAAAATATATATAATTTTCAACTTTACTCTCGGATTGATAAAGTTTAAAATCTTGAAAGAAATATGCAAAGTGGAAAACATTTTTTTTAAAATCTGAGTTAAAATGGCGTTTCATCAGTGACGAGTCTTACATGAATAAAGCTAAGCTGATAATGAATTGACCTGTTAAAACTTGGAAAAAGATGACATATGGAAGAAAAATGGACCTGTGGCTGTCACTTTCAGCTATGCTAGTAGAGCAGGAATTTGGACCTTTCCATACCAACTAATCACGTTATTTAAAGAGCATGATAAGCCTGAACCGCTCTAGTTGTCTATTTGGTGGACAACATCATTTGCAGGTGGTGAAAGCATGAGGTTGTGGTCTCTCCTTCTTCTTCTTGTTTGCTTGCCTACGCTGATCCTGTCGGAAGATTACTCCGACGTAACCGTCATCGTACGGGGCTCCAAGACGATCGCTGCGACCAGTGATGAGTTTATTTGCGCTACCCTTGATTGGTGGCCTCCGGAGAAGTGCAACTATGATCAGTGCCCATGGGGAAAGGCTTCTATCTTGAATATGGTAGGTCCTGAATCCCAGTAATACTCTCATTAATCAAATGAATTTGGATTTTACGCAAATTACTAACTTTGGTCTTTCTCCGAATTTCCAGGACTTGACTAATCCGTTGCTAGCTAAAGCTATCCAGGGTTAGTGTTCTGACCCTTGTCAATTGAAGAGTTTTCTACTTTTCAGTTACAACTCCCCTATTTTCTACTGTAATTTGTTCCCCCACCTTTCAATGAAAAGAAACGCAAAGTCTTTGCGTTTTCTCGGAAAAAGAAAACAACTCCCTATGGAGGCTCAGTTTATTCTTAAATTTTTAGAAGGGTAAAATATCCTTGTGAGTCATTTACAACCTAGCATCTAACAATAATTGAGCTGCCACTCAAATATCCTTGTGAGTCTTCACTTAGCAAGTTTTTCCTTCTTTGTGTAGCTAGTTTCTTCACTTTTTTGTTTACCGTCTTTTCATAATGGCCTGGTTTATGGTCTTTATGACACCTCATCTTCTTCCCCTGATGAATATTTCTGCCGAATTTATTCTTGTAGCTTTTAGCCCACTACGCATCAGAGTCGGAGGCTCCTTACAAGATCAAGTGGTATATGAAACACCAAATTTAGGATCTCCATGCAGACCATTTACAAAGGCTTCAAGTGGCTTGTTTGGATTTTCTAAAGGATGCATAACCATGGAAAGATGGGATGCAATGAATGATCTGTTCCTCAATACAGGGTGAATGCCTTTGCCAGTTGCTTATCTTTAGGAATTTCCATCTATATTTTCTTCTAAGCGAGTTGTGATTGATTACATCAGACTTCTGAACGTGCAACACATATTATGGGATAAAGTATTAGTGCATTAAAAATACACCCCGTCATCTTTCTTTTAAAATCTTAGCAGTGTATAATAATATATGCAGTGCATTTTCTAATTATTTTTTGTTTAATTCCTTCAGTGCAGTTATTACTTTTGGTCTTAATGCACTTCGAGGGCGAAAGCAGATACGTAAAGGTGTTTGGGGAGGTGCTTGGAATTCAAGCAATGCCCAGGAGTTTATGGAATATACTGTTTCAATGAACTATCCTATTGATTCATGGGAATTTGGTAATACATTGTCAAACCCAAAACTATATTTGCTGCTCGCAAAGCAAGGAACATCTTTCATGTGTGCAAAGCGCTATATAAGTAACTACGCTCATTCACTAGGTAATGAACTGAGTGGAAGTGGAATCGGTGCAAGCGTGGGAGCTGAACAATACGGAAAAGACCTGGTTGCACTTCAAAAGATCGTCAATCAGTTATATGAAAACTCTAGCAAACCATTGGTGCTAGCCCCAGGAGGATTCTATGACAAACAATGGTTTGCTATGCTCCTTGACGTCTCTGGGCCAAATGTTGTCAGAGGAATGACTCACCATATTTACAATCTTGGTGCTGGTGAGTGTTTTTTCAGTTCTTGGTAGTACACCTTGATTATTTCTATTTTTTCTCCTATATCAAAGATGGCACAAGATAATTTATTCAATCTTGATTAGGTAATGATCCACATGTGGCCAATAGAATCTTGGACCCGCAGCATTTAAGCAGGGTTTCAGACACATTCAGAGATCTCCAGCTCACGATACAACGACATGGACCATGGTCGGCTCCGTGGGTCGGGGAAGCTGGCGGAGCATATAACAGCGGCAGCCGTACCGTTTCCAATACTTTCCTGGATAGCTTCTGGTAATTACTTGTCAGAAGAACAAATGACTATCACGGCCATCATTCTTCTCGTGTCTTCTCATCCTGAAATTTGTTGTTTTAACTAGGTATCTTGATCAACTTGGTCAGTCAGCAAAGTATGACACCAAGGTCTACTGCAGACAGACTTTAATTGGAGGCAACTATGGCCTCCTCGACACCGATACTTACGTGCCGAACCCTGATTACTACAGGCAAGTATCTGTACTGTATATTCCTGCCAGAAACATACTTTACCGTTTGCATATGCTTCAGATTACTAAGCTTTGATAAATGTTCAGTGCCTTGTTGTGGCATCGACTAATGGGGAATGGAGTTCTTTCCATAGACTTCGGCGGTACTTCATACTTGCGTGCCTATGCGCATTGCGGGAAGCAGAAGGTAAGAGTGGCCCCATGAGATTGATTTAGGCTTGGTAAACATAGCAGAGTGCTGTGACTTTAGTCACTGGTTGGCTGATTGGTGTGCTCTTAAAATGTTCTTTTCAGGGCGGTATCGCTCTCCTCTTGATCAACCTGAGCCAAAACATGGGGTCCATGGTCACCGTCAGGAATGACCTCAATGTCGGCCTAGCGCAAGGGCAGGGGATAACAAGGGACAGCTCCTTTGTTCATGGCCTGAAGAGGACGGTCTCCTGGGTCGGGAGCAAAGCCTCCGATGGGCTGGAGAAGAGGGAAGAGTACCACCTGACAGCTCAAGACGGGAACCGTTTTGCGCGCACCATGCTGCTGAATGGAGTTCCTCTGGAGCTCACTGAAGATGGTGACATCCCTCCGATGTACCCGGTGCAAGTTTCTGCCAGTTCACCTATCTATGTCGCGCCGCTGTCCATCGCCTTCGTCGTCTTCCCAGATTTTGAGGCTGATGCTTGCTAGCGATGAACTGTAGTTTTTAGATAGGATACCATGCGAGTTTTTCAGCTACAACAATATAGCGCTTCTCAACTATACAAATACTGAAAATGATTTGTGTTGATGTGTTCTGCCCCAATTGGGCCACCTATGTTCAACAAATTCACAATAAAGAAAAGCTCAAAAACTTTCTCCTGATATTTATCAAAACTTTCAGAAAGAGGTTGTCTCCTACTTTATAAGAAAATGAAGAACAAGAATCATACAGATTCAAATAATAATTTGGCTGTAAACAGAAATTATTATAAACTGCTGCTGTTCAACCCACCAACCAGCATGCATTGAAGTCAATGCTTCAACTGTAAACACTAACAATATGGCCAAATGACTGATGCTGTCACATGCAAAATAACCTGAGAAATCTCAGATAGAAAAAACCCAAGACATGGAATGAAAAGCAAGTATTTCATTTGAGATGATCACCATAAATATATCAGAAAGACTGGGTGCAAAATGTACAGGGATGTTTTTTGCAAAATCAAAATTTGACCCTCTTCACATGGTGAACTGTATACTCACTCTCCAGCAATTACAGTAGTGATGGGACTATCATCAACTCTGCCAAATCAGGCAATTTATAATACTCCATCAAGTACAAAAGAACCATCCTAAACAATAGTGTAATTTCATGAGCTATGATACAAATGGAATAAACAAAAGGAAAGGGATCCTCGTGTAAATGGGAACAAAACATTCCTTTCTATTCATCGAATATGCTGCATCTGCACATGTAACCAATTATGTTCATTCCCTGGATACCCTTCGATGCCGGTCTCCAAAATAACGAATTTAATTCCACTTAATTTACGCCTTTATTTGTTGAATCTTTTGTCTCGCCAATCTACAACTGAGACTCCATTATATGACAGTTCCTTACAAATTCATTCGAGTAGTTCACATGTTTCGTCCAAAATGGTTGGAGATGTTTAAAACCAATGTCCAGCCATGGCTTACTTTGTCCATTGTAATGTATAACTGCTGCTTTCCGAACACTAGAGATATCCGTCTTCTCCTGATACCCCAAACCTAAAAGGTGCCAAGATGGATCGATCGGATGAACATGGCCTTTAAATGCTATAAGGCCAGGTGGCAAAGTTCCAAGCCTCCAAAGCGTGAAGTTTGACTTCAGATTCTGCAGGCAAAAAAAATACAATGAATAAGACTGGAGCTCTCCAACATGAATTCAAAATTTATAATTGTTTAAATATAGAACAAGCAGAGTGTCAACTATCATGTGAAGCAGAAAGCAATGCTAATAAAATGGAATTCAGCACCACGCAGTACAGCTATACTTTTTCAGCAGCGAAGACAAAATCTCCAAATATTTGAGAAGTCAGTGCTCTATACAGTTTAAGTTAGTGCAATTAGAAACTTATGGTCAAATAAGGGGCATGGTGGACATCCAATAGTTGCAAATTAACTTGTTATACTGAAATGGCAAAAAGAAAAGAAATGCATCTATAAATAACTAAAGATGTACATATGAAAATGGCAATAGTGATATATATACTCCCTCCGTTCACTATTATAAGATGTTTTGGATATTTCAATATGGAGTACATACGGACTGAAATGAGTGAACAAACACACTAAAATGCGTCTATATACATGCTATTCAGAAAAAAGTTAGAACATCTTATAATAGTGAATGGAGGGAGTACGTTTTACCTCCTTGACCCAATGGTGGTATTTATCTTTAATTGTTGTCTTCCTCCATGCAGCAAGGTGAAAAATGTTCATGCCATACGCCCACGCACACTCCAATGGATCAAAGTTGGTGGCAATGAGCGGATGAGAGAAGTTAAAATAATTCCTGAACCTCTTAGACATCACCCAACTATCTCCACCCCTGCAAGTCTCAACAGCTCCATTTACCTTCCCAGCTAGATCAATATCCCAAAGTGATGACAGGTCACGTTGGACAACAACATCATCATCAAGAAATACAACCTTGCTGAGGCTTGGGAATAACTGCTTTGAGCAATTGTAAGTGTTATTATGTGATTGTGGATATTCAACAAAAAGAAGCATTAACAAGTACGCAGTTATGCACTACCATAGAGATCGTCTCTACAGTTGTACAAAATTCCAAATATCTAAAAAACAAAAGGAGAATGAGAATTTCCAACTAGCTATGGAACACTTTCAAATGCTATACATTTCTGCAAAAGGTATTTGGGTAATATTGGTTGCCTCTTGACACCAAAAGACCACACTAAAAATATATTCACAAGTAGCCAATCCTATAGAAAGGAAAATAAATATTTGCAGTTGAGTGTTTCACCACATCATTCTATCACATTTCATACATGCTAATTTGTTCATAAGATAGTTAGAAGAAAGTTCTTATACCTCAGGCAAGTATATACGAATATGATTGAGCACAGATGTATATGTTGGACTTCCTGCCTGCAGCTTGGCTGCAAAAACTCTCGGGCTGTCACCTGCAGTGGTTCTTGCAAGGTGATTTCCATGGTAACGACTTCTGGCAATGTGCTGAATTTCTATAGCTTCAAGAACTGGACCATTTTCTTTCGTCAACCATTCAAATTGGTGGACACCCTTCACCTCAATAATGGCAGGATAAAGAGGATTCAATGCAAACCATGAATGCATGGCAGGATAGGTCTTCTTGTCAGTAATGACATGAAAGACTATCCTCTCAGGCTTCAATGCTGATCTAACTGTTGATCTGACCACAACCGAAGCTGCAAGGATGTTGTCTGACGCTAAAACAAAGTGGAAATAGGCGTTGTCGGAAAGACGCGGGACCAACTCAGGGGGTGGCAGCTGTTTCCTCGCAAGGGCATTTGAGGAGTATACGTCAGTTAGACGCAATGAAAGGCAGTAAAGGCCTTTAGGAATTGCGATTGCTGCATAATGTTTGTTTAGCTGCTCTGACAACCTGGATGATCTCAGTTCCTTATCCATGGTCTCCATCTGCATGTCATTATGTAAACAATAAGGTTTGCAACTTGCTGAACAAAGAGGAGTGGATGAAAGGTAAAACTTTATGTTACTGATCACTAATTGCATCAGTGATGTTCTTTGCGTTTGACAACTTTAGGTGATCACTATACAACATTTGTAGGCATCAATGCTTACCGTGGCCTTCAGCCTCAAAGCAAATGACTTCAAATCATAATCGTTATTCTTTGTATCCCAGATGAAATCATCAAAAGATTCTGCCACTTTTAGATCAACAGGAACTTCCTCCGAGTTTATTTCATCAAGCATCCTATACAGATCTCTTACAAGCCTCTGCACATTCCAGTGCAGCGATCGATTAAAAATTAAATAAAACATCGAAAGGATTAAAGGGAAGTGCAAAGCACATGTTAATACCATGGAGCCATCTTCACCCCTACCGAGAAGACGTGGACTTAACCGTCTGCCCAGACAATCTGGTAAATGATAACAATCAGTGATGAATTTGTAGCAAGTGATTGACTGGACAAATTATACAATCTTGAATAAGTTTAAGCATTGAAGAAAAATTATGCTTGAGAAGACGGCCAAATAATGAGGGTGGAAGCACGTAAAATAAAATAATCGTCATCAAGGTATGATAAATAACATAGGTATCCAATTCAAGTAAATTAAACAACAGAACAGAAGAGAAGATTAAAATAGGAGATACAAAGCCATTGGGATGCCTAAGATAATAGGCCCATATACATAACTGATCCATTTTCTCTGGGCATAACATTTAGACCGGACTCCTGATTTTTCAGAAACGATGGCAGCGTTCCTCTGGGTGTAGGATTTCAGTGTTCTACTTAGCTAACTAAGGTTCTCCGTAGCAGTTCCCAATTCTAAACATCAGTGCAAGATATCGATGCTTCCTGTAACATAGAAAACTAGAGTAGTTGCATATATCTATCATTAATGGCTTACTGTACAAATTGTCTGCGGCTTGAACAAAATATGCAACTAATTCCTCACTGAACAATCAAGGCAAGGTGAAGAAAGAAACACTTTAAGCTTCTTCATAAATCATAAGCATCCTCGTGTCTACTTATCTTCTATACAGGAGACTAAATAGGTGGTTTCCGCAGCTCAATGAAACTGTAAACGGTTAATCAGCCTACTAAGCACATATGCAGCCACATAAATGGCCTAAACGACCCTAGACTGTAGTAACGGAAAGTCGTGTTATTAACCACCAATGCAGATGCAGATAGCAATGTACCATAGATTTAGGTCAAACCCATCAAGTTATTCACCGACGAAATTGCTGCAAAAGTCACATCCCACAAGGGCATTGCGCATCATTTGTCAGCCATTATGTTGTCTAAACTCTAAAGCAGATAAGATCTCAAGCCACTACATCATCCCAAGAATGGAAGTAAAAGCACAAGCGGGCAGGCCAGGCGAGCCAGGGTTGCATACCTAGGGAGGAGCACTTGTTGAAGCCCTCAAGGGTCATGACGGCGGTGAGAATAAAGACGAAGGGAAGGAGAAAGGCGAGGATGAGGACGGTGTGGAAGACGGTCCGGTACGAGAAGTGGCGCGCGGCGGTCTTGAGCTTCATCAAGTCTAGCAGCCCATTGCTACTGGAGATGGTGATGCTCCTCATGCTCGGCGAGAGCCGGATCTGCATCGTCGCTCCTCGTCGCCGCCGGCTGCGGCTCCTGCTCCGTCCTCGACAGAGAATCCAGCGAGCATCGGCGGGGGCCGCGGCAGGCCGCGAGATTCAGAGACGCCATGACGGCAGCCCGGGGCAGGAGGGGGAGGAGGACGCGACCGCCGGCCCGGCCGGATCCGGCATTGGCGTGCGCGGGGGGGGGTGGGAGCAATCCACCAAGCGATCGATCCCCGG